GGCCCTCCCTCACCTTATGTACACGCCCATCAGAGAGAGAGAGAGAGAGAGAGAGAGAGAGAGAGAGAGAGAGAGAGAGAGAGAGAGAGAGAGAGAGAGAGAGAGAGATTCCGAGAGTTGAGGCCTGGTGGCACTGGACTGAGACCTTTATCTGGACAGGGACACTGGGAGACGATTTTTGGAGACTTCATATGGGCAACATTCCAGTTCATGAGATCTCCATATCTCTCCCTCTTTGTCTCTTCTCCCTCCTCCTCATTTGTGGATGATGTCTTGGCACGGCGCTCTTTGTCTATGTGTTCAGCACCATGCCTCCTCACCCTTCTTGATGATGAGGAGTGGGTTGCAGTCAGTCCGAGTCGTTTTGAGTCCGATCTGTGTGTATCACCCTTCCACTGCATTGCATTTTGCTCATTCTCCTTCGTCGGTTCTCCGGTTCTGCGCCATACCCATCTGATTGTCTCTGTGCATGCAACACTGCTTCTCCTTCCTTTCAAGACCATGCTCTGAGTGAGCCTACGCAATTGATGATGACAGCTCCTCAAACCCCTATCTCGTTTCCTCGAGACTGTACGACTGCATTGCGCTTGCCGACAGAGGCTGTATCGTCATGTCCACAGTGGTCCTGTGTTTGCCTCTTTTGCACACTCTACCGTCTTCACCCGAATAGAACGTCCGGTCATTATCGCTGCATCTGGACTGAAAGTTGGGCCAAATGCAGCTATGATGACCGGGCGTTTTATTCGGGTGAAGACGGTAGTTCCTCAGACTTTCTCTGTGTCACACTTAGTTTTTTGGCCTGCCTGTTTAAGTTGATTGGCCTGCCTGTTTAAGTTGATGTTGCATTTTGTCACATTTGGAGGTTTCTTTTGTTTTTTTTGAATTTTTTTTTGGATCATTCCTCAGTTTCTCTGTGTGTCATCCAAAAAAACAGGACAGGGACAATCAGAGGGCCCTTTTTTTTTCTTTTTCTTTTTTTTCAGAGGGCCCATTTCTAAGGTCTTTTTTTTCTCTTTTTTTTTCGCCCAAAGTGTAATATTTTGTGTATTGTTCGAACGCTAACGGATGTCCTGAAGGCCCATTTCTAAGGTCTTGTTTTTTTTTCTCTTTTTTTTTCACCCACAGGTTTTCTCGTTTTAGTACTTCTGAAATTCCCTCCCTTGCAGACTTTGTTATAGGAGTGGCCCGGCTTCACGATGAAATCAGAGGGAGGTCCGGAGGGGTCAAAAATCGGATGAAAGGGTTGAATTAGGAATTGTGAAGAGAAATGAAAGGTAGGTGGGGTCAAAAAAATCAGAGGGAGGGGTCAAAAATCGGATGAAGGGTTGAGAATTAGGAATTGTGAAGAAGTCCGGGACCATAAGGACCTGTTTAAAATTAAAAAAAAAAAAAAAAAAGGAATTGTGAAGAAGTTTGAAAGGTAGGTGGGGTAAAAAGAATCAGAGGGAGGGGTCAAAAATCGGAAGAAAGGGTTGAATTGGAGGGAGGGGTTGAAAAAAAGGGTGGATGAAAACTTTGAAAAGTAATTGTGAAGAGGTCTGAAAGGGGTAGGTGGGGTCAAAAAAATCAGACGGTGGGGAATCCTGTGGGACATCCATCCTTTTTTGTTTTTTTGGAACCTAAAAAAAAGGGACCGTTTGAAGTTTGAACCCATTTCTCAATTTATGCATGTCATCCTTGCGCAGGGGCCATGCTAATCTTCCTTCTCTCCTTCTCTGTATCGTTCCAGATTTAACGGATGTCGTGTCGTGAAGGACAACTCCGATGTGCCGGTCTGTTTCGAATGGCTTCATTTCGTGACTGCATTACGAAATGCCATGTCTGGAGGTATTGGGAGTTCAGCGATGCGGAGTGGTGGTCATCGACCGGTGTGGTCACGCTTATCGTTTCTTGATTGTGTCACTGTTTGTTGCAGATTTACGAAGTGAGCAAGATGTTACGTCAAACGAAGTACACTGTCGACAATATGGATGAGCAAATTTCTGCGGAGATTGCGAGTCTTTTGCGCGAGCAGCGGAAGGGCTTGCACATCAACAACGCACTAATGAACCAGATCGCGGTGCAGTTGGGCATCACCTCAACGTCCTCGATACAGGACGAGGCGCAGGCGCTGGAGTTGGCGCGGGAAGAGGCACGCAAAGACAAGGACAAGCTTGAGGAACAGTACATCAACCAGATTATCAGCTTGTTATTTGACATTAAACCCACGGAAAATTGTGCGAGTCCCTCTCTGTCTGAGAAAACCCCCAACCAGGCCGATTTTGGAGAGGCTCCTTTTAGGTACTCACCTATCGGTTCCGATGGAATGACTGTCCCAGACACACCATCATCTCCTGCTGACCAATTCATTCTGCAGGAACAACCGAGTCTGAGACGAAAAACACTTTGGTCCCGCCTCCAGATTGCAAATAAGTCAACGAAGAAAGGGAAGAACAAATGTCCTCACTGATGATATACGTACGTCTTTTTTTTCGGTGGTGCCACAACCCCAAACCAATGGACTCGACCCCTAAGGGCCCTAACTTAATCGTGGAACTTTTTTTTTTTTTTTTTTTTTTTTGGCATCGTGGAACATTTTTGTCGTCTGAGGTTTCCAAGAAAGGAAGTATAGGGCCTATAGGCTGTATAGCCTTTTTTTTTTTGTTTTTCTTTCGTTTTTTTTTTTTTTAAAGAAAGGAAGTATAGCCTTCTGGAAGCTTCGTACCAAGCAAGTATAGCCTTCTGGCAGGATTTTTCACCGACAATAAAAGGGTGCCAGCCTGCCAGCTGCCAGCCCTCCCTATTACCCCTGTAAATCACACCGTGGCTATTTTGCATGCAACTATTTTAATGTATGCGACGTTCATCCCGCACTGCCCATAGCCATTGTCGCCGTGAATCCGCCAGGAGTCCATCCCTGCTGCGGGTGTGCAGAGGTTAAAGGACTACAGGAGAGCCCAAGGAAGCAGAATTCCTTCCCGCTGTACCATAGTCCCAAATTTTGTTAATAGTTACGTAATAGTACTACCAAATTTTGTTAATACTTACGTAATAGTACTACCAAATTTTGTTAATAGTTACGTAATAGTACTACTGATTAGCGAAACAGTTTAGACAGTCGTAGCCTTGTGGTGGTACTAGTTATTTAGCTAAACAGTTTATCAGTCATACTCTGGTAGGGGTACTCATTAGCTAAACAGCTTAGCAGTCAAAACCTGGTGGTGGTATCGATGGTAGTGACCGTCTTGACGATGATTATGATGGGGCGGTGGGTGTTGGTGACGAGAGGGGCAGTGATGATGATGATGATAATGATGGTGGCAGTAGTGCAATAATGGTTGTCGGACTGGTGACGATAGAGGCGGTGATAATGACGATGCGGGGGACGGTACACTGCAATAATGGTCTTGACCATGATTGTTATATGGAACGATGGGTGTTGGCGATGATAGAGGCGGTTATGATGATGATGCGGGTGACGCTACTGCAATAACGGTTGTCGGACTGGTGAATGCGCGTGATGGCTTTTCAAGTAGTGACATGTTGGACACCATTTTCCTGAGCCTTTCGGATCTCCTCTCGAGTCCCACGCTCTGTTTTTTTTTTTCCATTTCAAAATGCGTCGAAGCGTTTTATTTTATCCCCCCTCCGGTCCTCATGAGCTCTCTCATCAGATAGGGTCTTGAACCTCGATGCTCTAAGGTGCAGCTTCCGTGCTTGTACTCGGAAGAAGTGGAACTGGTTTTTCGTGGACGAGTAAATGCTCCCTCCGTTCATCGGGTATTGAAACTCCATCGACAGAATTGTAGATCAGTTTTCCATCGTCTCCTTGCTTTCTTTCTTCGCAATGCAACTGTGGACATTGCTGTGGTTCCTGACTTCCAATTTTGCATATGGGGGGGGGTTAACAGGCTGTAATATGGACTCAACAGAGGCAACACCATCAAGAATGGTTTCAAGGGAGGGGTGTTTGGAATTGTTGCGCTATTCCGATCTCGATTTGGCTGGGAAGGGAGAGGGGGGGGGTATGTTTGGTTGATGATAACCTGGACAAGATTGGAATATTGTTCCTTTTCTCAGAGTCATGGACACGCTGCTGTGCCTGACTCTGGTGGGGGACAGTGCAACCTTTTCGTGCTGGTGGTAGCGCGAGGAGTGGATCTCCTCTGCCACCTTTGAGATTGAACTTGTCAGTTTGCTCCATGGGTTAGACTGCCACACCCTATCCCACCCTCTGTCTGCGCAGCCTTCTTGTGCTGGTGATCTCAACTGTGTAGCTTTGAGCTTCAACTTGTCGGTTGCTCCATCATCAAAATGCCACACACCCTATCCCCCCCCTGTCTGTGCAGCCTTCTTGTGCTGGTGGAAGTTTGTGAGGAGGAGGAGAAAGAGTCGATCTTCACTACCCTTGAGCTTGAGCTTGAGCTTGTGTTGTTGCACCATAGGGTAGACTTCCACACGCCGTGCACTCGTGGAATACGCAAAACGCGAGTGGGCACTCGTGGAATACGCAAAACGCGAGTGTGCACTCGTGGAATACGCAAAACGCGAGTGTGCTGTGCAAACATGGTTGTTGTCAGATGTCTATCTCATATAAACAGCGCACTCGCGTTTTGCGTATTCCACAAGTGGAACAGATTTCACTCTGACATCTGGCTTTTTTGCACAAACTGCAGGCTGCTTTCGATACTCGTTTTGACACTGGTCGTTTAGTGTATAGCAGTCATAATGCCCGACATAATGCCAGTGCTTCCTATAGTGCAGAGGAGAGGATGGGTATACTGCTTCAAGTCAAGCTTATATATACTGAATCAAAGGCGCGAGTTAGGTAGGATCCATCAGTTTCGAACTGTCGCTCTCTGAGTGTTGATCTTTCAGACTCGAGAGCTGCTAAAATGTTGCAGCTACGACGTATATTACCACGTGTCAGGCTTTCATGTAAGTTTTCCGAGCAGCTGCGCTGCAAAGGACGCGTCCTCTCCTTCCCTTTGAACTGTCATTCCATGCGAGGGTCTCTCAGGGCATGTCCTCTCGGAGAATTCCCAGTCGATCTGCACGCTTTTTGCTTGTTCTCAACTACAGTTTAGAACTTTACAGCGCAGTCGAACAAAATGGTAGTTTTAAACTGTAGTTGAGAACAAGCAAAAAACAATCGCTTGAAACTTGTGTAGCGGCAGTCGAACAAAATGGTAGTTTTGAAGAAGTGTTTTCATCCAGCTGGCATGGGAATGGTACTTCCTGTTTTCACTCGTTGAGCCATTCTCTCTCTCTCTCTCTCTCTCTCTCTCTCTCTCTCTCTCTCTCTCTCTCTCTCTCTCTCTCTCTCTCTCTCTCTCTCTCTCTCTCTCTNCACACACACACACACACACACACACACACACACACACACACACACACACACACACACACACACACACACACACACACACACACACAAACACACACACACACACACACACACACACACACACACACACACAAACACACACACAAACAAACACACACACAAACACACACACAAACAAACACACACACACACAAACACACACACAAACAAACACACACAAACAAACTCACACATAAACAAACAAACAAACACAGAGGGGAGGGGAAAAAAAACTCAACCATACACAAACATCACCAGCAGCCACATCCATTAAAATTGGCCCCTGCGCAAAGATGACATGCATAAAACAGCAGCAGCCACAAAACAACAGCAACACCAGTAGACAATAGGACATCTGATTGACAGGAGCATACATCACACAGTGCCTTTATGTTGCAGCAGCAAGACAACAACAAAACCATTAATAAAAAGGTATTAAAAACAAAGCTGCCATGCTGGCACCACGCCCACCCCCAAATGTTTTTTACGAGGGTATTCAATCATTCCCACACCTTTGACAACCGAACATCAATTCACTGCACCTTGTACACACACACACACACACACACCAAAAAAAAAAAAATCATAATAAATAAATAAATAAATAAATAAAAAATCAAGTTATATTGGGGCGCGCCTTTGTACTTCTGGCTCTCCTTGTATTGCAGAAGGTTGTCTGAGAGAACCTCATGGACCCTCCCTACAACTTCCTGCATCCCCCTAACCCCTATTAAATCACCCTCTTTGATCATAGGGCCTTCCATCACAGCTGCATTTACCAGCCTAATGGAATCTTCAATCAAGCTGACTATCCACTCGTTAGTTCACAGTTGCTTTTGAACCACCACCAGTACTGGTGCTTTAAACAGTTGCATAATATCAGCTTCAGTTCCCCCTACCAAAGCAGAAAAAGCTGAACCTTCCTCCTAGAACCATTTCACACCGCCGACACTTGCCCCTACCAAAGCACAAAAAGATGAAGCCGCCACCTGGACCAACCTCACACACCTGAGATCAAGGAGGGTCTCTTTTTCTTTTTTTTTTTGAGACCAAGGAGGGTCTCACTCTACTACTCTCCAGAGTCTCCACTCTCAAAAGCTTTTCGAGTCGTTCGAGACCTGGCGAACGCTCCAAAAACATGAAAATTCCCATCTACCTTATCAGCCAAGTTTTTTTTTTTTTTTTTTTTTTTTTTTTTTGAAGCTTCGTCATTTTATTATGAAATAGAAGTAGAGGTTGGGGACCTCACAATTCAACCCGGATGAAAATTATGGGGCCACGACTCATATTAGGCGTCCCTGGAAACGGAGTCAAATGGTTCAGAATGAGCAGGGCCTCTGCAGCAAGACTGGCCTCAGTGCAGTGGCAGGTGGAGCGCAGGTACTATCTGTCGACCAGCGATTGGCTGATAGATAAGACATATTTGGAACAGAAGGGGCTTACCCTTCCTTTGTGCAAGCTCTGTATGGCATCCTTCCCATAATTGAACAAATTGGCACCACCACTGTGCCCTTGCCATGGGACTGGAAAGCACTGCTCTGCGAAACCTGGTGCCTGGTGCCCAGACCAAGTCACCACCCTGGAAAGCACTGTTCTGCAAAAGCCGGTCGCACCACCTCCACAGCCGGTCGCACCACCTCCAGGGAACTCTGAGAGGGGGCGCAGGGGGATGGACGGGTCTATCTTCGTCCAGTAGTGTAACATAGGTCGGACGCCGAGCAGTCGACTGGGCACTCTGGCGGAGACGATGTATGTTCCTGGAGGCGGCGGCGGATTTCACCTCGAGCCAATCAAACAGCAAGTACAGGCAGAGATTACCATCCAGTGGGACGCAGAAAAGGAAAAATGAACACACTTACACAGTTACACAACTTACACTCAAAACCCTAAATCGGACAACGCATTGAACAATTCAGCGAAGAGCCGCTGGGGGGTGCAAAAGGGGGTTGGATTGCAAGAGTGGAATGGAAGGGGGGGGGGGGGGGGGGGGGGGATGAACAGGAAGATCTAGGAAATTGCGGAAGGGACTATCGCCTCAGGTTTCACGACTGGACGAAGATAGACCCGTCCATCCCCTTGCGCCCCCTCTCAGAGTTCCCTGGACATGCTTCGCCGGCCCCCCTTGCCATGGCTGATGTACAGTGGTATATGGGGGTGGATGATTTCCACCCAGAGGGGCCAGACCTTTAAAGAGTGCGATGTGTTTTGAGGTTCCTAGCCAAAACCGGGACATGGCCACGGCATGACACTGCGAACAATGCGGCGCCGAACCCGGTTTCGAGCAGGTGGTGGTCCCCACCAATAGACAGGAGGCCCTCCTGGAGCACTAACAGACAGCACCAGTCTAGGGTCCTTCACTTAGAATTAAGGTGGACGTTTGGAAACGGAGGCTGGTCTTTCCAGAGCACGGCCAACCTCTCTTCAAACATCGAGAGTTGTCAGATATGTCAGATAGTGCTTTTCAAGAGTCTATGGGACGCTGGACCCGGTTTCCGGCAGGTGCTGCTCCCCACCAATAGATGGAGCTTTTCAACAACAACAAAAAAAAAAAAAAGAGTCGTATCTGACAGATCTCGAAAGGGTGTTTCGCGTCTCTGTTTTCCAGAGTTAAGGACTGGACCCCACAGCTCAAAAAACTCGGAAAAGCCACTCCGCATTTAGTTTTCCGCAACCTCACAGGCCATTTCGGGCTGCCTAGAAATCTGATTTTGTGTGCAGCTTAACTTTTTCCAGAACCCCATCGACCGCAGGATGCAGTCTGCAAGGAAAGGAAAGAGAATATAGAACCAAGCGATCACAACAACGCAATCACAAAGTCGCAGCATATAGCCGCTGCCACAGCCGAGCTTCAGAGCAAAAAGCGCTGACTCAACTTTGGCGCAAAGCACCAAAAGGGGTCACCGGAGGCCTTCATGCCAGTAATTTATGCCATGTTTACATGGTTGGGTGGGGGGGGGTCGGGGGGGGGGGGGCATCTCCATGTTTGGAAACAAAGCGCCAAGGACGCCTGGTAGACTTCGGCCCCTGGTTCCTTGGTGACGAAGACGGACACGGCCGTGTTGCACAAGTGAACAGGCAGACAACCCGCTACTTTACTAGTTGGGCTGAACAGTCCCACTAAGTCTTCTCCTATTTAGGAAACAATAGGCATCTGTTTGCCGCAAAAGAATGGGCATCAGTTTGCAGCAAAAAGGCCTCCACAGTGGGGTCCCCTCATTTCTCGGGAAACTTTTGGAACGGCTCAAACTTTTTTTTTTTTTTTTTTTTTTTTTTTTAATACCACTTTTCCAAGCCCTTTGCTGTGGGGTCCAGCTCTAAGTGGGGACGTTTTGGAGAGTAAAAGTGGTGGAGGAGGCAGGACTCCCAAAAAATAGTCCAGAGTAGTGGAG